TTGACCCCTATTTGCTACCATTATTTTTATACATGAATCACCCCTGAAGTAAAAACCTTAACAGCATCATGCCAATCTTAACCAACCATGTACACATCATTTCATAACCATGGTAAATATTTGATTTTACTGTGATAAAACACAATTGAACGTACGTTGTTATATTATAAGCAAACGTTACAAGCCCTTGTATTACCCCTGGCATAGGGCTTTTTTGCTACTAGCAAACGATACATTTTACCACTCGCATATGCCGTTTTTACCACTAGCATATGGCATATTTTGCTACTTGCGACTCGCAACTTGGTACTCGCATACGGCACTATTTCTAGGTCGTACATACCTGACACTACTGCTAGGTTTATATTTACTTAGTACAGAGTCTGTGGAAATTATCATTCATGACCATTTGCATATACATATGGTGTCTGCCAGATGGTTTCCCAGGTTGTTCACACCTTTCCAGAAGCAAGAACACGTTGAGTGCTCAAGGATGAATTTGGAGATGTGCCAAGAAGATGAGTCAAAGTTTTTCAAAAGACTGATTACACAGGATGAAACTTGGGTCAACTATGTTCCAGGGACCAAAGCCCAGTCAATGCAGTGGAAGCACTTGGACTCACCACTTCCAGAGAAGGCAAGGGTGCAGCCCTCCGCTGGCAAGGTCATGCTCACAGTCTTCTGGGACCAGGACGGAGTAGTGATGACAGATTTCCTGGCAAAGGGTACCACAATTACAAGAGCCTATGCGCTTCACTTTTGATGAAATATAGAAGATATCAAAATCAAGAGGCGGGGCAAAATCGGCAAAGGTATCCTCGTCCCGCGGGACAACGCTCCGGTCCACAACTCAAATGTCACCAGATCAGAAGCAATGGCGTGTGGCTATGAAACCTCCCCCATCCCCCATCCCCCTTTACTCTCCTGACCTTTCACCCTCTGACTTTCATCTCTTCCCAGCCATGAAGTTGTTTTTGAAAGGAAAGCGTTTCCTAGATGATGCAGCCTTGATTTCTGAAGTTACAACGTGGTTGGAGGACCAACCTGGGGTGTTCTACAAAAACGGTGTCCAGAGCTGCATCAAACGATGGGAGAAATGCATAACTCTGGGTGGTTCATATGTAGAGAAACTGTGCCAAGTTTCATTAATCTCCGGCTATAGGAAATGGGTCAGGGGCATCCCTCGTACAGTTCTCTGATGCTGTCTTCTGGAATGGTCATTGTATTAATCAAATCTACACCTTGAAACTAGGAATCCCTAGGTGGATAGAGGTACTTATATCGCATTTATTGTCAAACCTAGTACCTTGTATCTAGTTGATGCTAGCGGGAGACTGTATGGGTGAATACTAACTTGGGTATTCTAACTAAACCTATGGAAGGTGTTACCTCCAGAGGGCAACGTACCTGGCATGCAACCTGATTAAACAGATTTTACAGACATTGGTAGAGACAACTGATTGGATGGTAAGTGGGTGCATACAACATTTAATTTTGGATGATGAAGGCACCTAGGTATCTACGAGCAGATGTGTGTAGCAGTTTGTGTGTAAAATGTGTGCCTTGTGTTGTGTTGGGGAAAGCGCGTTTGCGCTTGGCAAAATGTGACAATGTGAAATTTAACCTGAATTGACTAATTTTTGTTGAAGGCAAGTCAGAATTGATCGAATTTATTTGGTTTATCACTATGAACATTCCTGACTATTAAAAACCATTGTATTTATACATTGAAGTAAATATTTAACATTGCAGGCGTCATTTTCAAATACCTGATTGTGATTGTTGTCACGAATACAACATCAATTGAGTTAAGTCATTATGTGTGTGATTACAGTGGTTACTAGTATGATAGCAACTACAGGTATGAATACCATAGGGTATAGTTAAGTGGTAAATGTTATACTGTAGTATATGAATGAATTATTGAAGGAACACCTTTTTGTGTGATCTCGATATTAAAGTAATAAATACACAATGTATATATATATTCAATACTGAATGACTACTGCTGTGTTGCGGCACAATTATCATTTCTGAAGCCTTTCATCAAGAGCCCCCTGGAATCCATCTCTCATTAAGGATCACATTTCAGTTTTGTCCTCCAAATACGTTCTGTACAAAACTGTGCTCTCGCTGTCGCTCGCAAATGTCGTAAATTACGAAATTTGGACAAGATTTACAAACAAAATAAATATCTATTAGTAAGATTTACGAACACATTTTGTACAAAATAGCCTCGCAAATCGCCCTCATTTAATTGTCAAGACTCGACTGTGATCATCACGTGTGTTACGGTTTGAGTAATTGCCAATTTAAAGTTAAACAATGTCCCGTTACTTCTAAGATTGCAACAATTGTTACGTGGTGATCGCGATCAACACGGAACTGCCACTGAATGGATTTTTCCACTCTAAAGTTATTTTGGTGTCATAGCACATGCGTTGTTTAATCGACATGCGTTTCAGGATACCCCGCGACATTACTCTCAGTATGGGACGGTTTCATGTCGCTCTTATCAAACACGTGTTTTGTTTATTTATTAAAAATGGAGACTACGTCAAAAAGGAGTAGACAACTGCTTGACGAATATTTATCACGACGAGATGGACTCAGGAGAAGCCGCTAAATCATGTTCAGAACCAGAAACTCATGGGTGTCCTAATCCTGACAGCACCAAGAAATGGAAAGTTGATCGTACTGCAGCACGATTTCAGAAATAATGGAAGGTTAGCTGCGGTTCCGTAGCTCTTTGGTGCGACATACAATCTAATTTTGCCCTAACAATTTCACTCGGACGTCTTGTTTTTATTTTTGTTGTTGTATGACGAACATGGGCCAGCCAGTGTCTGTCACGTAAATAATGCGGTCATTAACATAGGGCTATGATTCTACAGCTAATGGAAGGTGAGACGATGTTAGCGAATCGATCGAAAAATACTATAATTTGTGTAACATTCTTACCGGGCTTTCTTAGCATTGAAATCAAGTTACAAGACCAAAAGTTACTTTAGTTACTTTTTCACTTTAATTCAGAAATTTCGATGAAAATAAATAGTCATTTTGTGTCGTCATAAACGTCAACATGCGGGTTTTGCATGATGAGCACGGGAGATTACTTCATAATAATATACAGCTTTTTGATTGGCATAGAGTTTTTTTTCGAGAAATTTCCCGTGAAAATTTATTCACAGGATGATTTGTGTTCTAGGCAGTGAACTTTTGAATGATGACTATTTTTCCCACTGTTAACAATGTGAACTTATTATGAACATGTTTAATTAATACTGAGTTATTCAAATAAAGGTTCTGGTGTCTACATTGCATATTTTGTTGTGATGTTTTGTTGTACCATCATAAATGGTACATTTTGTGGAGCAGACTGCCTAATTTGATGCCATGAAATTACACACAAAATTAGAGCTCAGGTTGCACCAGCAAGCACCATTTTCAGCATGCTGTTCTTGTTTCGGCGGACGACAGAGGGGACACCTCCCTCTCCTTCTCTCTTCCCCGTTGTGCTCGGTCACGGGAAAATGCTCCGCAGTTTCCAGACAAAGTTTACTAATACTTTTTTTTCTTGATTAGTAAATTTACTATTACCTAGCAAATTCCAGAGAGAGCCCAGCAAAACCCAGATTGATATTTGGTAACTAAAAGATGCAGTCTCTTCTGTTAGCAGTCATGTGTGTTACACATGTACATGTCATGCATGAATGAATTAAAGTTCTGTTGTGTGTGTGGTCATGCGGGAACCTCTTGACATAAATATACAAGCATTCTAATAGTTTTGGAGATGCGATGGAAAATACTAAGGCATAAGGAAAGTGCTTCCCCAAATATTGTAAGGAAATACCTGAGAACATTTTCTTTACAGATATTACAATCCAGGATAAAGTTTTGAAAAGTTAGTCTATGAGTATAACAAGAATTGAGTAAATTCACCTGTGATTCACCTGGTGCAAAGTCACCAGTATTTTTGGTGTGATTGAATGGTATTCCAAGCACTCTGCCACCAAGATGCCATGTATCACCATAGTCTTAAAAAAAAATAAGAAGACATCGATAATATAAATTATTTGACAGATCATTTTTATATGGGCTTTGTTTGGATAAAATTAAACACATTTAGATCTGCCATTTTCTGAAGCAATGAAGTAATCAAAGAAAGCTTTCAAAGAGCTCCAGACCTGTTCCTAGTTATGGATTCAAACCCTAGACCTTCAGTATGCTAATCTGTGCATATGTTTATGTTCATATTTACATATCTAATCCCATGAAAATTTAATGTAACTTTGAATTAATCTTGAAAGATACACAGTTAATGTGTACATGTATAAATAATATATGCATAATGTGCATAGTGTTTGATGGTAAGCTGGGTGCAGCAACATAGAAACTAGGTAGTCGTGTTACCATTATTCACAAATATATTATTATAAATAGTTTAACTATTTCTTTTCTTATGACCATTTTAATGTTTTTGAACTACTTTGATTGGTTTGTTAATTTTCAAGTTTTTATCCTAATTATATTGATTTGCAATACTTAAGATAGCTGGATCATTATTTTCATACTTATATTCAACTTTTGGCAAAATGACTAAAAAAAAGACTCAGAATCATCACAAATTATCATAAATTAATTAACAAGTCATTGTCAATGACACGTCCTCATTCCGTTCATATTTGAGTGACATACATGTATACATTCAAAGCAGATCATGACAGAAATCTCAGACCACTTTCAGTGGTCTGATCCGAAATGCACCTGCATATGTACAACACATTGTACTAAATCTGAACAAAATCCATCCATGCATGACTGAGATCCGGTTCCGGAATTGTGAAAATACATGATTTTGATGCATTTTCGGCCTTAAAATGGCCATCATTCAGCTATTGTTAAGCGGAACATGAAACAAGTGCACATATCTATTTTTGACATGATGTACCATGTGTGTGTGAAGTTTGAACTTGATCAACCCAGACATGTCTCGGATACAGATCCAGAACTGAATACTTTAAAACAAAATGGCCGCCAGTCAGCTATTTCA